ACGACCTATGCATCCCCGCAGTCACGTGATGAGAATTTAAGACGCTTGGCATCTGGCTCTTATTTATGACGGTCGCAGTGTCCCGGGGTCCCATGATTGACCTTCTGACAAAGTCGATGGGGAAGCCAGATTCACTTAACAACCGTGTCAACAACTCTACAGTTGCAATGATTCACTAACAACTGTGGCAAGTAATATCACAAAATAGGGCACAGTTCCCTTAAGAAGTATGTCACTTAGCAACAGAAATGTTGGGCTCAGTTGTGGTCATAAGTTGAGGACTACCAGTATACCACTCCAGTGTCTTTTATAGCACTCTCTGAGTGGTTTACAGCTAGTCCTCAACTTTTCATTTAGTGATCGTTCGAAGTTTCAACGGCACTGAAAAAGGTGGCTTATGTCCATTTTTCACACTTACGACCATTGCAGCATCCCCCGTCCCATGGTCACGTGATCAAAATTCAGACACTTGGCAACTGATTCATAGTTATGACGGTCGCAGTGTCCGGGGTCATGTGATCCCCTTTTTGCGACCTTCTAACCAGCAAAGTCAATGGGGAAGCCAGATTCACTTAACAACCTTGTTACTAACATAATAGTGATTCATTAACAACTGTGGCAAGAAATGTCACAAAATGTGGAAAAAATCGCAACATCTGTCTTACTTAGCAATGGAAATCTTGGGCTCAAATTTTGGTTGTAAATCGAGGACTGACTGTAGTGTATATCTTGATTGCTGTCTCCTTAAAGGTTGATATCACTCTGCTTAACAAAGAATTCCCTCAACACTGTCAAACTATTTACTAAGTCTACACTACTATTAATCTTCTCATTGTTCCTATCACCCATCTCCTTCCACTGATGACTGCATGACTGTAACCTTGTTGCTGGTATCCTTATGATTTATATTGACTGTTTCCTAATATGATTTGATTGCTTATTTGTACCCTATGACTATCATTAAGTGTTGTACCTTATGATTCTTGATGAACGTATCTTTTATGTACTCCAAGAGCCTATGCACCAAGACAAATTCCTTGTGTGTCCAATCACACTTGGCCAATAAAATTCTATTCTATTCTATTCTATTCTATTCTATTCTATTCTATTCTATTTTTTCTTTTTTTAAAATTTGATTTATATGCCGCCCTTCTCCGGAGACTCAGGGCGGCTTACAATGCGCTAAGCAATAGCCTTCATCCTTTTGTATATTTATACAAAGTCAGCTTATTGCCTCCACAATCCGGGTCCTCAATTTACCTACCTTAGAAAGGATGGAAGGCTGAGTCAACCTTGAGCCTGGGGAGATTCGAACTTGCAGTAATTGCAGGCAGCTGGTCTTAATAACAGGGTGCTTTAGACCACTGTACTACCAAGGCTCTATTCTATTCTAGAGACTTTATGGCAAACAGGAGATCAAAATTGGGGTGACAACACGTTACAGATCCCCAGGAACACATTAGTTTGTTAGGTGCATATATACTGGTAGTCCTCGACTTACAACAGTTCATTTAGTGACTGTTCAAAGTTACAACGGCCCTGAAAAAAGTGACTGATGACCTTTTTCAGACTTACGACCGTTACAGCATCCGTTACAGCATCCGTGTACATCACGTGGTCAGGTGATTTACATTTGGATGCTTGACAACCGACTCACATTTGTGACGGTTGCAGTGTCCTGGGGTCACGTGATCCCCTTTTGTGACCTTCTGACAAAGTCAATGGGGAAGCCAGATTCCCTTAACAACCAATGTGTGACTCATTTAACAAGTTCAGCGATTCACTTAACAAATGTGTGACTCATTTAACAAGTTCAGCGATTCACTTAACAAATGTGTGACTCATTTAACAAGTTCAGCGATTCACTTAACAAATATGGCGAAAAAAAGTCATAAAATGGGGTTCACTTAACAAATGTGCGACTCATTTAACAAGTTCAGCGATTCACTTAACAAATGTGTGACTCATTTAACAAGTTCAGCGATTCACTTAACAAATGTGTGACTCATTTAACAAGTTCAGCGATTCACTTAACAAATGTGTGACTCATTTAACAAGTTCAGCGATTCACTTAACAAATATGGCGAAAAAAAGTCATAAAATGGGGTCAAACTGACTGAACAAATGTTTCACTTTGCGACATAAATGTTGGGCTCGATGGTGGTCGTAAGCCGAGGACTGCCTGCATAACTGAGGGTAATGGTACCGATACTGCAGCTTCGCACCCATCAGATTTGCTCTGGAAGCAATCTTTTTGACCCACACTGAGTGCAGCACATCTGCCCTGTTTATTAGAGGCCAACTTCAAGAAAGACGCGGCCACTTTAAGAAATGCCCCCATTGAAGTTTAGTCTGAGTGCCAAAGCAGAAGCACCAGAAGAACATCTGGCTCCTTTAATGTGCAGCAGAGAAGCTGGTGGCCATCTGGATGGCCTTTTTCATGTCACTGCCCTGACAGAGGCCTTTTGAAATGCTCCTCTAAGAGAACAGAAGAGTTTAGCAAGAGGATGAGGGGACTGGAGGCTAAAACATACGATGAACGGTTGCAGGAACTGGGCATGGCTGGTCTAGTGAAGAGAAGGACCAGGGGAGACAGGAGAGCAGTCTTCCAATATTTGAGGGGCTGCCACAGAGAGGAAGGGGTCAAGCTATTTTCCAAAGCACCTGAAGGCCAGAAGAAGGAATAATGGATGGAAACTGATCAAGGAGAGATTCAACCTGGAAATAAGGAGGAATTTTCTGACAGTGAGAACAATCAACCAGTGGAACAGAAGTTGCCTTCGGAAGTTGTGGGAGCTTCATCACTGGTGGCTTTCAAGAAGAGACTGGACTGTCATCTGTCAGAAATGGTGTGGGGTCTCCTGCTTGGGTGACAGGTTGGACTAGAACAGGGGTCACCAACCTTTCGGACCTCAGGGACCACTAAATTCATAATTTTAAATCCTGCGGACCACTAATATCAATTTTTTAAAAAGATAAATAATATTTAGTGCATATAAAAATGCAAATAGTTTGTCTGTGGACCACAAACATTTTTTCACGGACCACCAATGGTCCACAGACCATCAGTTGGGATCAGTGGACTAGATGACCTGTCCTACAAAGTCCCTCCCAACTCTGTTATTCTGAAAGAGTTTCTCTAAAGAAGGCTGAGGGACAGAAGGCTCCTTCACATCTAGAGAATCCATAATAACAGAGTTGGAAAGTACCTTGGAGGTCTTCTAGTCCAACCCCCTGTTCAGGCAGGAGACTCTATAGCACTGCAGACAAATTTCTGTCCAAGTGATGGGACACCACAACTTCTGGAGGCAAGGGGGTTCCAAGAATTACAGCTTGTCCTTGACTTACTCCAATTTCATTTAAATTGTATTTTATTCCAATTTCATTTTAATTGTGTTTTATTCCAATTCCATTTTAATTGTATTTTATTCCAATTCCATTTTAAATTTGTTTTTATCAGATTTTAGAAATAATTTGTGTTTGGAGACTCTGCACTTTGATATGGCCCATGGTCTAATCCAGGGGTCTGCAACCTTAAATACTCAAAGAGCCATTTGGACCCGTTTCCCACAGAAAAAAAAACACCGGGAACCACAAAACCTATGTGGGGCGTGGCCAACTCGATGTCACTCACTTCCACCAATCACATGACCCCCCCCTAGCCACGCCTACCCAGCCGGTCATTAGGGCAGAGAAAATGAGCTTGGTAGTACAGTGGTTTAAAGCACCCTGTTATTAAGACCAGCTGCCTGCAATTACTGCAGGTTCGAATCTCGCCAGGCTCAAGGTTGACTCAGCCTTCCATCCTTTCTAAGGTGGGTAAATTGAGGACCCAGTTGTGGGGGCAATAAGCTGACTTTGTATAAATATACAAAAGGATGAAGGCTATTGCTTAGCGCATTGTAAGCCGCCCTGAGTCTCCGGAGAAGGGCGGCATATAAAAAAAAAACACCGGGAACCACAAAATCCTTTTGACATCTCTCTCTCTCCCCCTCTCCCCTCTCTCCCCGCTCTCCCTCTCTCTCTGTATCTCTTTATGTCTCTCTCTCTCTCCCCCTCTCTCTGTATCTCCCTGTCTCTGCCTGGCCGCTTCTCCATCCCCCACCATCTCCCTTACCTTCTCAGGCCAGGCGAGGGTGACTGGGAGGGAGGGCGAGGGGTGGGGCCAGCCAGTGGTGGGTTTACCTGATAGGGAGTCACAGCAGAGGGCCCAAAGAGCCACATGCGGCTCTGAAGCCGCAGGTTGCTGACCTCTGCTCTAATCAATAAAGTAAACTAACTAACTAACTAACATCCATTGCTTCTTCTTCTTCTCTTTTTTTTTTTTTGAATTTGATTTATATGCCGCCCTTCTCTGGAGACTCAGGGCGCTTACAATGCGTTAAGCAATAGCCTTCATCCTTTTGTATATTTATACAAAGTCAGCTTATTGCCCCCACAAACTGGGTCCTCATTTCACCTACCTTAGAAAGGATGGAGGCTGAGTCAACTTGAGCCTTGGAGAGATTCGAACCACAGTAAATTGCAGGCAGCTGTGTTAATAACAGGGTGCTTAGACCACTGTACCAGCAAGGCTTCTTGTCTTGCCTTCAGGTGCTTTGGAGAATAGGTTGACCCTCTCTTCCTTGTGGCAACCCTGAAATATTGGAGACTGCTATCAGGTCACCCCGAGTCCTTCTTTTCACTAGACTAGACAAACAGAATTCCTGCAACCGTTCTTCCTTATGTTTTAGCCGGACATATGAACCTGCTCCATCATTGGTTGAGTTGATGGAAACCATCTCATACGTTCCTTGAAAAAAAAAAAAGAAAAAAAAAAAAACAGAGAAGATTGTCACTGCGGGGAGGTCACTGGGAAATGTTCTCAGGGTTAAGGTTGGCTTTGTGGGTTGCGTTGAGATAATCAATAAAAGTTACAATTTAACTCCAATCCAGGCTCAAGGATCTCCTTCTGGATTGCGACCTATAAAAGAAGTGGAACATGTATTTCCCAGCCTTTTTGAATGGTGGAGCATTGACAAGACGTTGACAGACAGATAGCTGGCAGTAGAATCCATCTGAAATCAATTCCTTCCTGGCCCTAAAAAATATCGAATTAAGAATTCTCTCTAACTTCTGTCTTCCTTTCCTGCAACAGCATCCACAGGACCCAAAAAAGACTACTGGTGCAACGCAACTGCGTTGATACCGAGGAATTGCGATTTGTGATCGGCGAAGAGGGTGCGACGGTGGGGAGTAGCTGAAATTTCGCTGAAGTCTGGAAAGGTAAGCATTTGTGTAAAGCAGGAGTAGGGACTGATGGCCCCTTTATGGCTTGTGGACTTCAACTCCCAGAATTCCTGAGCTCAGGAATTCTGGGAGTTGAAGTCCACAAGTCATAAAGGGGCTATCGTTCTCTCCACCTCTGGTGTAAAATATGCCTTACACGAGGTCGTGTAATACACACTGTGGCTTTATTGGAGTGGGTCAAGACTCAGGATAGTTATGATTCTTAAGACCAGGGTTCCCCAAACTTGGCAGCTTTAAGACTTGTGGACTTCAAGTCCCAGAATTCTCCAGCCAGCTGGCTGGAGAATTCTGGGAGTTGAAGTCCACAAGTCTTAAAACTGCCAAGTTTGAAGGCCTCTGCTTAAGACGCTCAGTTTACCCTGAGTAAGATAGGCGGCCAATCAATTTTACAAATAAATAAATGAATACGACTATTGGGCAAACAGGTAGTCCTCGACTTTCAGCGCCATTGTAACTTTGAACGGTCGCTAAATGAAGAGGTTGTAAGTGAACGATTACCTGTATTAGATGTCATTGGAAGAATGGTTTAGGCTAGGGCGGGGGTCAGCAACCTGTGGCTCTGGAGCCGCATGTGGCTCTTTCATCCCTCTGCTGCGGCTCCGTCGCTCAAAATATGCGTCACAACCGCCAATGTGCGACACCCACCAGCACGCGATTTATTGAGCTTTTCAACCCGCGGTAGGCCAGCCATGGATAAATCCAATTCAGAAGAAAACAGAACGTTTAATTCAACTACATATGCTAGTTTTGTGGCCACTCAAAAAATAGTCAGGCATCGGAAAGGTTTTGTGGCTCCCGGTGTTTTCTTTTCTGTGGGAAACGGGTCCAAATGGCTCTTTGAGTGTTTAAGGTTGCAGACCCCTGAGCTAGGGGTTTCCGAACTTGGCCTAGCTGCCTGAGGAATCCTGGGAGTTGAAGTCTACAAGTCTTAAAGTTGCCAAGTTTGGAGGCTCCTAGTTTAGGCTTAACTAACCTCCCCATCAGCTGAGCTTAACTAACCTCCCCATCAGCTGGGCTGCATGATGAGACATAAAGGGCAGGGACATAAAGGTATTCACTTACCTTTGCTACCGGTTTGCAAATGTGAGTGTGTGCATGTGCAGAGTGTCAAAAACGGGATGTAATGATGTCCGGGCGGATGGGCGGAGCCTCCCGCAGCTGCCACTACCGGTTTGCCTGAACCAGATAGAACCGGCTGAATACCGCCACTGATAAAGGCCTAGAGGGGCATTACATAAATGGAGCCATTCTAGGAATCCCATGATGAGGAGAAGGAGGAGGAAGAAAAGGTGGTGATGGTGGAAGGAGGAGGAGGAGGAGGAGGAGGGAGGAGGAGGAGGAGGAGGAGGAGGAGGAGGAAAGGAAGGAAGGAAGGAAGGAAGGAAGGAAGGAAGGAAGGAAGGAAGAAAGAAAGAAAGAAAGAAAGAAAGAAAGAAAGAAAGAAAGAAAGAAAGAAAAGAAAGAAAGAAAGAAAGAAAGAAAGAAAGAAAGAAAGAAAGAAAGATTACTATAGTTCACTTCCCTAGCGTCATATGAAGGGAAAGAAAGAGCTCAGGGAGCTTAAGCATTTCCAAACTCCATCTATGGGGTCCTGACTGCATCATTGTGGTTTGGTTTACTTAATAAAACCCGGGGGGGGGAAGCCACCGCCTCTGAGCCATCTTTGCAACATCTGGACTTCCAGGACTGATGCCTGCACTGAGCAGGGCAATCCTATTTGTCACGCTGGCTCCAATATTTTCTCCCCCAACTGTGCTTGTCAAACTCTACAACGCCAGCGACGAGAACAAAGAGCATCTCTCTTTCTTTGCAAGAAAGAGACGGTTGGGGGCTTTTGGAACCCACGGACAGAGAAGTCCTTGACTTATGACTCACAACCGGTCGGTTAGCGATCATTTGAAGTTGGGCCCAGTTGAAAGAAGGAACTTAGGAGGATACTCAGGTCTGAAGTTCCCAGAGTTAGCCCCCCAGGGTGGGCTTCAAGGGGTTCTCTGCCTGGTTGCTGGGTGGGCGTGGCCATGGTAGGCGTGGCCTCATCGGCCTCCTTCACCATGCCGGGGAGGCCCTTTTGCCCTCCCCGGGCTCCGATGCTTTCCTCGAGCCTCCTGGAGGGTAGAGACGGCCTCCCCAGGCACCAGAGGCCCTCTGGAGGCTGGAAATGGTCCCGTTTCTGTCTTCCCGATCTTCCAGTAGGCCCGTTTTTCACCCTCCCTGAGCCTCCACATGCACCCTGCACTTACCTGCATCCAAAACAGGCCACATGGGGACTCCTGGGAGGGGCGGGGTGGGCGGGGCCAACCAGGAGTGGGATTTGGGGGTTCTCCGAACTGCACAGAATCTTAGCTAGAGGTTCTCCCGAACCCCTGCGAACTCCAGCCCTCAAGTCCCCCCCCACCTTCCCTCCTGGTCACATGACCGTACTTTAGGCATCGGTAACATGGCTGCATTCATTCATTCATTCATTTATTTGTTGACTTATTTTTCACCTTTCTGAACTACCCATCTCCTCACCCAAAGAGGGACTCTGGGCAATGTGCAGATCTTCTGAGTTTTAGGCAAAACCATGTCGTTAGTGAACCATTGGTTCACTTAACGACTGTGGCTATCATTTAACAACGTCCGCAAAAAAAAACAGTGGCCAAATTTGGTCGGTCGAGAGTCAAACGACCATTATGGTCGTAACTCGAGGACTACCCGCATAAATGCTTGAAATCCAGCCTCTCAAAGAAACAGATAGGTAGCAAGTGTGGATTCTAGGACAAGAGCTAACAGGTGGAAGCTGTAGAGAGGGACATCCAAACTTGTACCACCGTTGGTCAAGGTTGGCCTGAGGATTTCAGAAGACCTTTGAGGACTCTTTCAAGTTGAAGGGACATAATAACAACAGAACGGGTAGAATTAGTGGGACATAATAATAGTAGAGTCAGTAGAATTGGTTGGACTTGCTGTTTTGCTTCTGTAAGAATTGCTTTGCTAAGAATTACAATTGTCTCTGCCGTTTGCTTCTCCCAGTGATCTCACCTCTCTGTTATCCTGTTATCTTGTTTTTCTCTACCACTCCGTGCCTGGTGGATATCTTAAGAAACGGGATTGCTATGCACCCACCCACCCCCCCTTCCTTGCTGCACTGCCAAAGGAAGGGAAGGGCCAGGGGGCAGCATTGGGTAGTAAGTTGATGTCTCTGAGGATATAAAAGGACGCCATACCTTCCCCAAGGGGTGGCTATTTCCTCCCATGCATTGTAGCTATATCAGGGGTGGGTTCTAATTTTTTTTACTACCGGTTCTGTGGGCGTGGCTTATTTTGTGGGTGTGGCTTGGAGGTCATGTGACTAGGTAGGCGTGGCTAGCTGGTCAGAGTCATTTCTGGAAGGTCCTCGCACTTATGACCAGTCCTCGCACTTACGACCCGACTCATTTGTTCACTTTTAACACTGATCAGCTGTTAGGGCGGCCCTTTGAAGCCCCTCCGGCAAGAGTTTAAACAGTTTTTTTCCCTCTAGTCATCAGCTGGGACTCAGGAGGTAGCAACAGATTGGGGGTGGGACCAAATAAAAGGTAAGAATAACATGGGAGGGCGGGGGGGGGAGAACCGGTTCAGTGACATCATATCGTCATCGCTACCGGCTCGGCCGAACCGGACCAAACCAGGAGGAACCCACCACTGATCTATATGTTCTGGATATAGCCCCACCCAGTATTTTGTTTTTGGCCATAAATAAAATCTGCTTCTCTTTGCAAGCCTCGTCTTGAGTTTCTCTCTTTGGCATTCTGGTGACTGAAGTACATTTTGGGACCTTACAAAGTCTATGATACTCTCCATGTCCAATAAAGCAGAGCACATAATCTCTGGTCCTATGTTAGGCATTGAAAGCCAGCTGGGTGACTTTGGGCTAATCACCAGGAGATGGTGAATTCTAGTCCCGCCTCAGGCATTGAAAGCCAGCTGGGTGACTTTGGGCCGATCACCAGGAGACAGTGAGTCTAGTCCTGCCTTAGGCATTGAAAGCCAGCTGGGTGACTTTGGCCAATCACCAGGAGACAGTGAGTTCTAGTCCTGCCTTAGGTATGAAAGCCAACTGGGTGACTTTGGGCCGATCACCAGGAGACAGTGAGTTCTAGTCCTGCCTTAGGCATTGAAAGCCAGCTGGGTGACTTTGGCCCATCACCAGGAGACAGTGAGTTCTAGTCCTGCCTTAGGTATGAAAGCCAGCTGGGTGACTTTGGGCCGATCACCAGGAGACAGTGAGTTCTAGTCCTGCCTTAGGCATTGAAAGCCAGCTGGGTGACTTTGGCCAATCACCAGGAGGACAGTGAGTTCTAGTCCTGCCTTAGGTATGAAAGCCAACTGGGTGATTTTGAGCCAATCAGCAGGAGACAGTGAGTTCTAGTCCCACCTTAGATATGAAAGCCGACTGGGTGACTTTGGGCCAATCACCAAGAGATGGTGAGTTCTAGTCCCACTTTAGGCATGAATGCCGGCTGGGTGACTTCGGGCCACTCATTTTCTCTCAGCCCAAATTACCTCACAGGGTTGTTGTGGGGAAAATAGGCAGAGGAAGGAACATAAGGTATGCTCTCCATCTTATTTATAAAAACAATACAGGCGGGATAAAAAATAAATAATAATTTTTTAAAAATTGGCTTGTGGTTCTCAAACAAAATCCTTTGTATTTAGATTCTTATTGATAGCAACTGTGGCTATCAATGTGGAAATACCGACTCCATTTTTGTATCCTATTGAAGATTCTAACTTCTTTATAAGAACACCCAGCAAGATCAGCTAATATCTTGATGGGCAAACGATCCCCACAAATTGCCTATTTTTTTCTGTAAGTGGTTCTTGACTCGATGACCTCTGGTTTAAAACAAAGCTGTAATCATTCAGAAATTGCAGTTATGAAATCTGTCCAAGGTCCACATCTTTGGGCCTATTCGGTGAGGAATGTTAAGGAGAATTGTTTTTATCAAGCATATTGCGACACTTTTGATAATTGGGCCAATAAGGCACTTCTGTAATTTTCTAAAGCTTACGCAAAAAAACAAGTTACATCTCTCCATACAAGTGGATTCTATCCCTGGTTAATGTTTAACGTCAGAGATTATAGGTCTCATAAAAGTGTCATAATATAAGCATAAAAGAGAATTCTGCACACCACAAATTACCTCTTTTTACTGTCTGCGATGGCCAGCCTTACTAGGTGCACCAGATACTAAAAACCCAGCCAAATAAGCTAATTCTATTTTATTGTAAACTATATAGCAATAGCACTTAGACCAGTGTTTCTCAACCTTGGAAGCTTGAAGATGGGTGGACTTCGACTTCGAAGTCCACCCATCTTCAAGCTTCCAAGGTTGAGAAACACTGACTTAGACTTATATACCGCTTTACAGTGCTTTACAGCCCCCTCTAAGCGGTTTACAGAGTCAACATCTTGCCCCCAACAATCTGGGTCCTCATTTTACCCACCTCGGAAGGATGGAAGGCTGAGTCAACCTTGAGCCTGGTGAGATTCGAACTGCCAAATTGCAAGCAGCCAGCAGTCGGCAGAAGTAGCTTGCAGTACTGCACTCCAACCACTAGGCCGCCAAGGCTCATATATTAACAGAATCTCATGGTTTTGAGGGTACAATTCTCCCGCCATCAACTTTACAGGCTGATAACATTGCTGGCTGGAGAATTCTGGGAGTCCACGCTTCTTAGAGATTGAGAAACACGGAGTTATGGGTGTAAGGATAGTCCTCAACTTACAATCACAACTGAACCCCAAATCTGGTTGCTAAACCAAACACATTTCTTAAGTGAATGTTGCCAGGGGTGAAATGCTCCCGGATCAGGCTGGATCACCCGATCCGGTAGCGATTTTTCCCTGTGGTTCAGCAATCCGGTAGCGATCGCTGCCTGGGTGTCATTACTTTCTAGTTTTAACCAGGAAGTAATATTTTTTTTACCTTCTGTTCATGCGCAGAAGGTGTACGCATGCATGTGACATGCACAGTACATGCGCTTCTGAACTGGTAAGGAAGGTAAGTAGATTTCACCCCAAATGTTGCCTCATTTTAGGATCTTGCTTGCCGCGGTTGTTAAGTGAATCTGGCTTCCCCATTGACTTTGCTTATCAGAAGTTCGCAAAAGGGGGTCAGGTGACCCTGGCACACGGCAACCGTCATAAAGATGAGTCAGTTGCCAAGGGTTTGAATCAGGGGTGAAATAATCCCGGTTCGGACTGCATCACCCGATCCGGTAGCGATGGCGGCGGGGGGTTCGGAGAACCGGTAGCAAAAATCCCTCTCCACCCCCATGTCCAGCTGAGCCGCGCAATCATCAGAGGCTTTTTATTTTATTTTTAAAAGCATTTTTTCTACAATCTCTTTGGCCGAAATAATGCTTTTAAAAGTAAAAAAAAAAAGGCTCTGCCGATCAGGCTAGTCAGCTGGGATCGTCAGAGGCTTTTGTTGTTCCGCCAGGCTGGACTATCAACATAATAGTTTTAAATTGGGGTATTTAAATTTTTTGGGGTTTTAAATCTGAGCCAATTTATTTAATTATTTTAAATTTTAATTGCTGTTTTGTCTGTGTTTTTAAATAGGCTGTACACCGCCCTGAGTCCTTCGGGAGAAGGGCGGTATGGAAATAAAATTATTGTTGTTGTTATTATTATTATTATTATTATTATTATTATTATTATTATTATTATTTTAAAAAAAGAAAAGCCTCTGCCGATCAGGCAAGTCAGTTGGGATCGTCAGAGGCTTTTAAAAGCATTGTTTAACAACCTCTTTGGCCGAAGAGGTTGTAGAAAAAACGGTTTTAAAAGTTAAAAAAAAAAAAGTTGGCCACGCCCACTCAGTCATATTACCCCCCCTCCCACCAAGCCACAGAACTGGTAGTAACAAATTTTACATTTCACCACTGGCTTGAATGTTGATCCGTGACCACGAGGATGTTCCAACGGTCGTAAGTGTGAAAAGCGGTAATAAGTCATTTTTTAAAGTGCCATTGTACCTTTGAATGGTCACTAAATGAACTGTTGTAAGTTGAGGATTACCTGTACTACATTTTAGACATCCCTTGGCTTTGTGAGGATGGGATCTGGTCATTGTTTGCATGCCACCCGGTTGGAAAAATCCAAAGTCCACCAGAAGTTGGGATACCTTTGGGATGGCCTTCTCAAAATTGTTTACATTTTTTCATCTTCTCATTGCTTCTTCACAGGTTCGTCTTGGACCTGCCAAGTGAAACATGTCCAGAGTCTTCTCCACCAGCCTCCGTTGCCGGTTGCCCGTCCTGCTCTTCGTCTTTCAAGGCGTCCTCCTCTTCATCTTTGTGCTGTTCTCAACGTACGACCGACACACGGATGCTGCCGGCCAGCCTGCCGACGTTGACCCAGCTGGCAACCAGCTCTACGTCTTCTTCTCTCTTTTCCAAGACATTCAGTTGATGTTGTTGGTGGGCCTCGGGTTGCTGCTGGCGTTTATGAAAGGCTACGGTGTCAGTGCCGTGGCCTACAACTTCCTCTTGTCCAACTTCTGCATGCAGTGGGCCCTGATTGTGCAAGGGTTTCTCTACCACTACCACGAGGGAAAGATCCATCTAGGCCTCTATAACCTCCTGACTGCTGAGTTTGCCACCGTGACTGTTCTCATCTCCGCAGGCGCCATCTTGGGCCGAACGAGTCCCATCCAGCTTCTCCTCATGGGCTTCTGTGAGGTGCCCCTCTACGTGGCTTCTGAGTGGTTAGTTTTAAGCTACTTCCGAGCGGTCGACATTGGAGGAAGTGTAACCGTCCATGTCTTTTCTTGCTATTTTGGCCTGGGGGCCTCCATAGCTTTGTATCGGTCAGGACTCCAGACTGGACACCCCAAGGAGACTCCTTCTTACATCTCTGATCTTCTCTCCTTGGTGGGCGCCATATTCCTTTGGGTCTTTTGGCCCAGTTTTGTTTCTGTTCTTGTCCATCCGGGCGACGGCCAGCATAGGGCTGTGCTACACACCTGGATTACCCTCAGTGCTAGCGTCTTGACCACGTTTGCCATCTCCAGCCTCTTGGAGAAGAAGGGCAAAGTCAGCCTGGGCCACCTGCAGAATGCCACCTTGGCTGGAGGTGTGGCCATTGGCACAGTAGCCGACATGGCCATTAATCCAGGTGGGGCTTTTCTTTTGGGGATCCTGTCATCCGTGGCCTGCATCCTTGGCTTCAAATATATGACCCCCTTCTTGGCTAACAAACTCCATATTCAAGACCAGTGTGGGATCCACAACCTTCACGGTCTTCCGGGCATCATTGGAGCCGTCGCTGGGATCGCGGCCATTTTGTTAGTCCCAGATGAAGCCTATGGCCACCAGCTTTACCACGTCTTCCCCGCGAGGAGTCCACTGTTACAAAATGCCACCGTGGAGACCACGTTCATTGGAGAAACCTTGGGAAGGAGTGCTTCACATCAGGCTGTTTTTCAAGCTGTAGGCCTCGGCGTCTCGATCATCGTGTCCCTCGTCGGAGGTTACCTCACGGGGTTGCTTTTAAAACTCCCCTTCTTGGCCCAGCCCCCTGACCAATTCTGCTTTGATGATGGGCTTTATTTTCAAATCCAGAAGCCCCTTGAGACCTTGAGTGAGGAGCGTGGGGAGGGAATAGGGATTTTGCAGTATCCTTCCCCAGGAGTGGGGAGGGAATGGGGATTTTGCAGTATCCTTCTTCCTGGAGTGAGGAAGGAATGGGGATTTTGGAGTATTCTTCCCCTACAGCGGGGGTGGGAATGGAGATTTTGCAGTATCTTCCTCTGGAGTGGGGTGGGAATGGAGATTTTGCAATATCCTTCCCCCAGGAGTGGGGTGGGAATGGGGATTTTGCAGTATCATTCCCCCAGGAGTGGGGAGGGAATGGAGATTTTGCAATATCCTTCCCCCAGGAGTGGGGAGGGGAGGGAATGGGGATTTTGCAGTATCTTCCCCTGGAGTGGGGTGGGAATGGAGATTTTGCAATATCCTTCCCCCAGGAGTGGGAGGGAATGGGGATTTTGCAATATCCTTCCCCCAGGAGTTGGGAGGGAATGGGATGGGGATTTTGCAGTATCATTCCCCCAGGAGCGGGGAGGGAATGGAGATTTTGCAATATCCTTCCCCCAGGAGTGGGGAGGGAATGGGGATTTTGCAGTATCCTTCCCCCAGGAGTGGGGTGGGAATGGAGATTTTGCAATATCCTTCCCCCAGGAGTTTGGTGGGAATGGAGATTTTGCAGTATCCTTCCATTGCCACGCCTACCAAGCCACGCCCACAGAACCGGTAGTAAAAAAAATTTGAAGTCCACCACTGCCAAGAGCACATTTTCAAAACTATGGCTAGCGTGTCCGTTGTGCCTATCTCAAGTTTGGCCCAAGGAGACGGATGGTTTCTTTGCATCCTACAAGGCTGCCTTGATATGAGAAGCCAACTATTTCAGCCTCTTCAACATGCTGAAATCCGCATGACCGACCTGACCTGCTTTGAGAAGCCTTGGATCACTTTGTTAGCACTGCTTCACGAGCTAATGGTCCATTCCCAGATATAATGATCAACGTTGGCTAAGAATTCTAAGAAAAACTCCAACAGTTCTTCAGTTGCCAAAACAGAAAAGAAAAGAAAAGAAAAGAAGAAGAGAAGAGAAAAGAAAAGAAAAGAAAAGAAAAGAAAAAAAGCCAATGCAGTCCCTAGGCTGCATTAACAGAGGGATAAAATCAATGTTAACTTGAAGTTTAAGTACCACTTTATAATGCCTTGGTAAGATCATGGAATACGGCATCCTGTTTTGGTCATCACGATATAAAAAATTAGGTTGAGACTCTAGAAAGAGCTCAGAGAAGAGCAACAAAGATTATTTGGAGGCTAAAACATATCAAGAACAGCTGCTGGAATTGGGTATGTCTGGTTTAATGAAGAGAAGGACTAGGGATGACATTTTATTTATTTTTATTTTATTTATTTGTCGAGTACGTATTAGGTAATATATATAAGTGTAAGCATGAACTGAATATATAAAATGAATACAAATAAAGGGAACATTAGGACAGGGACGGTAGGCACGCTGGTGGTCTTATGCAGACCTTACAGACCTCTTAGGAATGGGGTGAGGTCAGGGGTGAAATCCAGCGGGTTCTGACAAGTTCTGCAGAACCGGTAGTGGAAATTTTGAGTAGTTCGGAGAAACGGCAAATACCACCGCAAGCTGGCCCCAGAGGGGGGTGGGAATGGAGTTTTTGCAATTTCCTTCCCCCAGGAGTGGGGAGGGAATGGGGATTTTGCAGTATCCTTTCCCCGGAGTGGAGTGGGAATGGAGATTTTGCAATATCCTTCCCCTGCCACGCCCACCAAGCCATGCCCACAGAACCGGTAGTAAAAAAATTTGGATTTCACCACTGGGTGAGGTCAACGGTAGCCAGTCTAAGGTTAAAATTTTGGGGGTTTGGGGATGAAACCACAGTCAGGTAGGGCGTTCCAGGCATTGACCACTCTGTTGCTGAAGTCATGATAGCAATGTTACAATATCTAATGGTTGCCCCAAAGAAGAGTGGGCTCAAGCTATTCTCCAAAAGCAGGACAAGAAGCAATGGGTGGAAACTAATCAAGGACAGAACCAACCTAGAACTAAGGAGAAATTTCTTGACAGTGAGAACAATCAATCTGTGGAAGGATTTGCCTCCAAAACCTCCATCACTGGAGGTTTTTAGAAAGAGATTGGACAACCTTGGAGACTAGAACATCTCCAAGGTCCCTTCTGACTCTGTTATGTTGTTATTCTGTTAATTCTGGAATTGTGGTCCAAACACATCTGTGGCAGGGACCAGATTGGGGAAAAACTCTTCAGTTGTATCAATTTCTGTGGGCTTCTGGCTATCTTTTATTCAGAACGACTTTCAGTCAAAAGGATCTGTCTGCACATAGCACAGAAAATCCCAATATAAAAATCAATATGAGATGTTGCAAAGCTGCAAAGAAAGACAAACGCCAGCCGTACTAAGAAATAAACAGTCCATCAATCTTAGGTCTTTTTAAGAGTAGCATCTTATTTCTCACCAATACTATTCGGGAACTTTGTTCCCATCAGAATCTCTCTTCCCTTAATCCACCTCCAGGAGTACTGAGCATAAAAAGGACGGGGAGAATTCTTTACGGCATCTTAAATTCTTTGGGAAAAAGAAAATGGGACAGAAATAATCAAAGTTTCCACAAACTACCTTTGTGGTCCACTGGAAACATTTTTGTTTCCTTTTTGGCTTTTCAATTGTCTCTTTTGAAAGGTGTGTAGATGTTGCTTATCTCTATGAGCCTGTTGATGGCTGATTCAGGTTTCCAGGGATTTTCTACCGTTTTTGAACTTGGTCTAGGATGCTTGGTCTAGGATGCTACGATATATCCATATATTTTGATTGTCTCCTCCTTTATATAGTAGTAACTGTGGTAACTACTATAGTAGTAAATGTGAGAGGGATCTTGGAGTCCTAATGGACAACCATTTAGATAGGAGCCAGCAATGTGCAGCTGCTGCCAAAAAAAGCCAACACAGTTCTGGGCTGCATAAACAGAGGGATAGAATCAAGATCATGGGAAGTGTTAATATCACTTTATAATGCCTTGGTAAGGCCACACTTGGAATATTGCATTCAGTTTTGGTCACCACGATGTAAAAAAGATTTGAGACTCTAGAAAGAGTGCAGAGAAGAACAACAAAGATGATTAGGAGACTGGAGGCTAAAACATATGAAGAACGGTTGCAGGAACTGGGTATGTCTAGTTTAATGAAGAGAAGGACTAGGGGAGACATGATAGCAGGGTTCCAATATCTCAGGGGTTGACACAAAGAAGAGGGAGTCAAACTATTCTTCAAAGCACCTGAGGGCAGGACAAGAAGCAACGGGTGGAAACTAATCAAGGAGAAAAGCAATTTAGAACTAAGGAGAAATTTCCTGACAGTTAGAACAATTAATAAATGGAACAACTTGCCTGCAGAAGTTGTGAATGCTCCAACACTGGAAAGTTTTAAGAAGATGTTGGATAACCATTTGTCTGAAGTGGTGTAGGGTTTCCTGCCTGGGCAGGGGGTTGGACTAGAAGACCTCCAAGATACCTTCCAACTCTGTTATTCTATTCTATTCCATTTTTCTATCACTGAATGCTTTAGGGTTAGAATTACAGTATTTATCAGTGGTAAAGACAGTTAACTCTGCAAATTTATGTCCCCCCTACTGTAATCAGAACAAGGATAATACACCAATCGATTACCTCCACAGCAGGGTAAAACTTTTCAGATGAGATTTTAACACGGTGGCAGTCAACCACAGGAACAAGGGCCCTTCTGGGTTTTCCACATGAGGGAACATTCATCCAAGCGGGGGACGAGACTGGACAAGCTCAGAAAGTTTATGCATCCTAACTTCCTTTGCTTTGGGAAAAAGAAGAATCTGGAAGGACAGGAATTCTGGAAGGTAGTAAAGATGGCATCTGCTGACAGATCAATGCTTACTGAGTCTCTGGTGGGAACCCCAGAAATAAATAAAGAGACTGATATCCTATTGTTTCTTATTTCATTATTTAATGCTGTGCAGGGTCCCTTCTCCTGAGATGGGTAGTGTTGTGGCTCTGTTACCTGAGCCTGTGTTATCGGAGGAGAAGGCTCCGTACATGAAGGAAAAGAGTTGGCCAGGCCTCCCTCTCCTCTCTGGGGAAAAGCCTCCGCTCTCCACAATCATTTGGAATCCGGCAGTATACATCTTTAATAAGAAAATCATTCAATAAACCTGGTGCTTTTCAGTTCAGCTGGGATGGCAAATGCATGGTGGCTAGGAATCCTGAAAGGGGCTGCCCAAATGTGTCTGTGAGATGGGCAGCTTTATAAATTGAATAAATAGATAAATACGTTTTAAGGATGCTGGGCTGGGAGAAGCAAAGGGAGAGGATAGATATTTGACTGGCCAAGAATGAATCTTGCATCTCCCGGCCTTTTGATCTTTGCCTTCCATCCCATGCCACCTCTGGTTTAATAGTTCGTGGGGTCCTTGGTGCTCCCTGAGCTTGGTTGTTTTCTTGCAGACATCTCATGACCCAAGTAGGTAACATCATCAGTGCTTGAAGGAGTGGGGTTTATACAAGTGGCTTGCTCCGTCAGGGTTGGTGGGTTGGTGTTCCTTGATTAGGCTGTTGTTTGCTGTTAGGTTGTCTGTCTGAATGAATAAGTAAGCAACAGCCGAATCAAGGAACACTCCCACCAACAAGCCACTGGTATATAAAAATAAGACCAAACTCCTATTCGCTTCTAGCATTGATGAAGTTACCCAGTTGGGTCACGAAACGTCTGCAAGAAAACCAAGCTCAGAGAGTACTGAGGACCCCACAGTTCAACCCTGAGCTACAAATACAGGTGGTCCTCAATTTATGACCACAACTGAGCCCAAAATGTATGTCGCTAAGTGAAAAATGTGTTAAGTGAGTTTTGCCTCATTTTACCACTTTGCTTGCCACGTTTGTTAAGTGAATCTTCGCAGTGGTTAAATTGTTGTCAAGCGAAGCGGACTTTCCCATGGACTTTGGTCGCCAGAAAGTCGCAAAAGGTGACCCGGGGACACTGCAACCGTCATAACTGTGAGTCAGCTATCAAGCATCTGAACTTCGAGCTAAGCTAGTAACACGGCTGTTAAGTGAATCTGGATTTCCCCATTGACTTTGCTCGCCAGAAGGTCACAAAAACGGATCACATGACTCTGGGACATTGTAACCGTCATAAATATGAACCACTTGCCACGGGGAGTGACCACCGGGAGGCTGCAACGGTCATAACTGTGAAAAGCTATCCCAAGTCCCTTTGGTGCCGTTGGAATTTCGGTCACTAAATGAACTGTTGCAAGTTCGAGGACTACCTGTGTGTCTACTATTGGTTGAGTATTTGTACACGTGAAGCGTTAGCTTGATATACAGCCTTCCTCCTTCAGTGAAGTTTAGCCATATAGACTGGGGGTCACAGCCATAAGCCAATTTTCCACCAACACTGTGTGCGCCGAGCAAACGGTGCTGAACTTCTCCTCTCTGGTGCAAAGAAGTCTCGGTGCAAGTATCTTCTGGTTGTGGGATTCATGTCAGTTGTAAGCCAAAACGTCCCTCTAAAACAGGGGTCTCCAACAACGGCAACTGTAAAACTTGTGGACTTCAACTCCCAGAAGTCCCAGCTACGGACCCCAAAGAACGCAGCACACAAACCTTAGTTTACTAAATTAAATCAGTCTTTTACAAACAAAGGCTGTTAATTAACTTCATTAACAGCCTACAAGAATCCAAAGAATAATAATCGTAATCTTACTATGGTTGGCAGAATGCCCAGAAGCAATTTGCAGGAAACTGATAAGAGAACTAAAATCGAGACGTGAAGGAATGTGAACGAAGTTGTTCCCTGGAAATTGCTTCAGTCGGCATTCTTCCTTAAATAGGCTAAGGGAGTGGCCAATTAGCCCCAAGCCTTATTCTCAAGACCTCCTCCTGAGGAGCTACTCCTGCCTTTTGGCAGCTCTGCGTGCCCGTGCATCGAGAAGAGGCTCCTCCTCTTCTTCCTCTTCACTTAAAGGAGCTTCTGGAGGTTCTGAAGGCCCTGGCTGAATCCCCGCCTCTGGCACCACATCTTCTCCAGCCTCCTCACTGTCCGACTCGAGTGCCAGCTGCACAGGCTGCTGGCGCAGCACCACACCAGCCTCCTCGCTGTCGGAATCGGCTACTAGCTGCACAGGCCGCTGACGGGCCACAACACTGAGGAATTCTGGGAGTTGAACTCCACAAGTCTTACAGTTGCCAAGGTTGGAGACCCCTGCTGTAGAAGACCCCCCTGGCACGATTCTCTAAGTGCAAGCAAGATAGCTGTTCAAGTGACAGACTCATCCTGTGATTTGTTCCTTGCAGATTCTCCCGTGTTGAAAAACGATCCCTGATTACGACCAGCCTTCCACTTAACAGGAGCTTCCGTGGTGATGACGCCTCTGTCCTTAGCTTTTTCTAAGGGCCAGTCTTAGGCCACCATGTGGCTTCCCTCTGAAAAGACGGGTCTCTAACCTTGGATACTTGTAAGAACTTTGCGTCGGGGGTTCCAGGTAACATACCCGTAGCAAACAATACTCGGAGGCAGGCAATTTCCTCAAAGAATAGGTTTATTGGATAGGTCATATTGCAGCGGTGTCAAAATCAAGGCCCGGGTGACTGGATCTGGCACGCAGGGTGCTTAGATCTGGCTCACGGGGCCGCCTTGGAAATAGCGAAGGACCGGCCCGTGGTGCCTCTGCCAGCAAAAATGAAGCTCGCGGCCCTCCCGAGCTCCGTTTTCACTGGCAGAGGATTGCAGGAGGCCGTCGCAACTGAAAACGGAGCTCGGGAGCCCGTTTTCACTGAGCGCACTGCTCAGGCCACCACAGGCCCCTCTCTAGGTCAGTTTTGATAGTCCTGGTCAAAAATGGGTCAATTCCAATCGTAGTGTTTGTGTAACAGTGAAATAAATGATGGTTCTCCATTTGAGGGGGTCCTTGGTGCTCTCTGAGCTTGCTTGTTTTCTTGCAGACATCTCATGACCCAAGTAGGTCACATCATCAGGTTCTCCGTTCGGCCATGTTAACTAAGGAGACGTTTCCTGACAGTGAGAACAATTAAATCAGTGGAACGACTTGCCTCCAGAAGTTGTGGGGGCTCCAACACTGGAGGTTTTCAAGAAGAGATTGGACAATCATTTGTCTGAAATGGTTTAGGGCACGGGTGGGCAAATGTGGCTCTTTTACAACCTGTGGACTTCAGCTCCCAGAATTCCTGAGACAGCCAAGCTGTCTGTGGACTTCAACTCCCAGAATTCCTGAGACAGCCAAGCTGGCTCAGGAATTCTGGGAGTTGAAGTCCACAGGTTTGTAAAAGAGCCACATTTGCCCACACCTGGTTTAGGGTTTCCTGCTTGAAGTAGGACTAGAAGACCTCTGGAGTTCCTTCCAACGCTGTTATTCTGTCAACTGAGAACTCCGTCTTAGTTGAACTTGTTGAATCCTGAATAAAAGTACAGGTAGTCCTCGACTTACGACCACAACTGAGTCCAAAATTTCCGTTGCTAAGCGAGACAGTAGCGAAGCGAGTTTTGCCCCATTTTACGACCTTCCTTGCCACAGTTGTTAAGTGAATCACTGCAATGGCTGAGCTAGTCACGT